CTCGCACTGAGACCCACAGACTCACACAGAGACTCCTAGACCCGCACAGAGACTCCTAGACTCACACAGAGACCCACAGAGACCCACACACTCACACAGAGACCCAGACTCGCACAGAGACTCCTAGACTCACACAGAGACCCACAGACTCGCACAGAGACCCACAGACTCGCACAGAGACTCCTAGACTCACACAGAGACTCCTAGACTCATACAGAGACTCCTAGTCTCACACAAAAACCCAAAGACTCGCAGAGACCCATAGCCTCACACAGAGACCCATAGACTCACACAGAGACCCACAGACTCACACAGAGACTCCTAGATTCACACAGAGACCCACAGAGACCCACAGACACAGAGACCCACAGAGACTCACACAGAGACCCATAGCCTCACACAGAGACCCATAGACTCACAGAGACCCACGGACGCACAGACTCCTAGACTCACACAGAGACCCACAGACTCGCACAGAGACTCCTAGACTCAGAGACACGCACACTCACACAGAGACCCACAGACTCACAGAGACCCATTGACTCACACAAAAACCCACACCCACACAAAAACCCATAGACTCACACAAAAACCCATTGACTCGCACAGAGACCCATAGACTCGGACAGAGACCCATAGACTCGCACAGAGACCCATAGACTCCTAGACTCACACAGAGACCCACAGACTCGCACGGAGACTCCTAGACTCACACAGAGACCCATAGCCTCACACAGAGACCCACAGACTCGCACGGAGACTCCTAGACTCACACAGAGACCCATAGCCTCACACAGAGACCCATAGACTCACACAGAGACCCACAGACTCGGACAGAGACTCCTAGACTCACACAAAGACCCACAGCCTCACACAGAGACCCACAGACTCACACAGAGACCCACAGACTCACACAGAGCCCCCTAGACTCACACAGAGACCCATAGCCTCACACAGAGACCCACAGACTCACACAGAGGCTCCTAGACTCACACAGAGACCCACAGACTCACAGAGACCCACAGACTCACAGAGACCCACAGACTCACACAAAAATCCACACTCACACAAAAACCCATAGACTCGCACAGAGACCCATAGACTCGCACAGATACCCAGACTCGCACAGATACCCACAGACTCGCACAGAGACCCATAGACTCACACAGAGACCCACAGACTCACACAGAGACCCAAAGACTTGCACAGAGACCCATAGACACACATAGAGACTCATAGACACACATAGAGACCCATAGACTCACACAGAGACCCATAGACTCACACAGAGACCCATAGACTCACACAGAGACCCATAGCCTCACGCATAGACCCACAGACTCACACAGAGACCCACAGACTCACACAGAGACCCACAGACTCACACAGAGACCCACAGACTCACACAGAGACCCATAGACTCACACAGAGCCCCATAGCCTCATACAGAGACCCATAGACTCACACAGAGACCCATAGACTCACACAGAGACCCATAGACTCAAAGAGACCCACAGCCTCGCAAAGAGACCCACAGACTCACACAGAGACCCACAGACTCACACAGAGACCCATAGACTCACACAGAGACCCACAGACTCGCACAGAGACTCACAGACTCGCACAGAGACCCATAGACTCACACAGAGACCCATAGACGCACACAGAGACAGACTCAAAGACCCACAGAGACCCATTGACTCACACAAAAACCCATAGACTCACACAAAAACCCATTGACTCGCACAGAGACCCATAGACTCGCACAGAGACCCACAGACTCACACAAAAACCCACAGACTCAGTGAGACCCACAGACTCACAAAAACCCAGACTCAGAGAGACCCACAGACTCACAAAAACCCACACACTCACACAAAAACCCACAGACTCAGTGAGACCCACAGACTCACAAAAACCCACAGACTCAGAGCGACCCACAGACTCACACAAAACCCATACACTCACAAAAACCCACAGACTCAGAGAGACCCACAGACTCACACAAAAACCCACACACTCACACAAAAACCCACAGACTCAGTGAGACCCACAGACTCACAAAAACCCAGACTCAGAGAGACCCACAGACTCACAAAAACCCACACACTCACACAAAAACCCACAGACTCAGTGAGACCCACAGACTCACAAAAACCCACAGACTCAGAGAGACCCACAGACTCACACAAAACCCATACACTCACAAAAACCCACAGACTCAGAGAGACCCACAGACTCACACAAAACCCACAGACTCGCACAAAAACCCACAGACTCAGAGAGACCCACAGACTCACAAAAACCCACAGACTCAGAGAGACCCACAGACTCACACAAAAACCCACAGACTCACACAAAAACCCACAGACTCAGAGAGACCCACAGACTCACAAAGACACCCACACGCTCTCACACAGTTCAACACACCCACGTACACGGCACAGACATACGTTGTAAACTTGGACCTGTCTGTGTGTGTTGTGTGTGTATATTAATCGATAGTTCCAGTTATTTATTCACTTATTTGAAACATTATTGAGCTACTCCGCTAACTGCGTGACGTTTTGTCCAGGAGCGTGGTCTGGGGTCTGTGGTTTTCGCCGTCTTGCCAAATAACGCAAAGGCTTATGCAATTTCACGATTATGCAACAGCAGCAGCAGCCACGGTGGCGAGGAGATGTTAATGACCTCGCCTGGCTGGCAGGAGGTCGTGGGTTCGATGTCAGATTTCAGACGATGCCTGCTGCTGTATGTTCGGAGTTGTGCGTGAGTGAATGGATGAGTGGGTGAGTGAGTGAGCGGGTGAGTGAGTGGGTGAGTGAGTGGGTGAGCGGGTGAGTGGGTGAGTGAGCGAGTGAGTGACTGAGCTACCTGTGAGTGAGTGGGTGAGTGAGTGGGTGAGTGAGTGGGTGAGTGAGTGAGTGGGTGAGTGAGTGGGTGGGTGGGTGAGTGAGTGGGTGGGTGAGTGAGTGGGTGAGTGAGTGAGTGAGTGAGTGGGTGAGTGAGTGGGTTAGTGGGTGAGTGAGTGAGCGGATGAGTGAGTGAGCTACCTGTGAGTGGGTGAGTGGGTAAGCGAGCGGATGAGTGGGTGAGCGAGCTACCTGTGAGTGAGTGAGTGGGTAAGTGGTTGAGTGAGTGGGTGAGTGAGTAAGTGGGTGAGTGAGTGGGTGAATGAGTGGGTGAGTGAGTGGGTGGGTGAGTGAGTGGGTGAGTGAGTGGCTGAGTGGGTGGGTGAGTGGCTGAGTGGGTGGGTGAGTGAGTGAGTGAGCTATCTGTGAGTGAGTGAGTTGGTGAGTGGGTGAGTGGGTGAGTGGGTGGGTGAGTGGGTGAATGAGTGGGTGAGTGAGTTGGTGAGTGAGTTGGTGAGTGGGTGAGTGAGTGGGTGAGTGAGTGGGTGAGTGGGTGGGTGAGTGAGTGGGTGGGTGAGTGGGTGAGTGAGTGGGTGAGTGGGTGGGTGAGTGGGTGAGTGAGTGGGTGAGTGAGTGGGTGAGTGGGTGAGTGAGTAGGTGAGTGGGTGGGTGAGTGAGTGAGTGGGTGAGTGAGTGGAGAGCGGGTGAGTGAGTAAGTGAGTGGGTGGGTGAGTGGGTGAGTGAGTATGACTGAAGCACAAACCATCCACCACCACCACCACACCAACTCAGTTTACTCAGTTTGTATTCAGTTTATTTTGGTATAGCCCTGTGAGCCATTCGGCTCTTGAATCGGAGTGCAAACGCAACAAACAGAAGCACAAAAACACGAGCAAGAACAACATCTTGAAGTGATATTCTTAGCTCTTTCGGTATGAATTACTGCAGTCACGAAAGCTTTAAATCAAAATCTTGAAGTGACTGTGTGTGTTGACTGTGCAAAACAGAAAATCCATGGGGGAAAAACATAAAACAGCAAAAATATTCCTGAAATAAAGCACCGTGCAACCACCAAAAACCACACCACCACCACCACACACCACCACCACCACCACTACACCACCACTACACCACCACACACCACCACCACCACTACACCACCACTACACCACCACACACCACCACCACCACCACACACCACCACCACCACACCACCACCACCACCACCACACACACACCAAACCCACTACCACCAACACCACCAACACCACAACCACACACCACCACCACAAACACCACAACAACACACACACCACCACCACCACCACCACACACCACCATCACCACACACTACCACCACCACCACACAAAACCACACACCACCACCACCACACACTACCACCACCACCACTACACCACCACACACCACCACCACTACACACCACCACCACCCCACTACCACCACCACACACCACCACACCACCACCACACAAACTCACAAACTCCCACCACCACACACTACCACCACACACCACCACCACCACACACACCACCACCACCACACACACCACACACCACCACCACACACACCACCACACCCCACCACCCTCACAACCCACCCCACACCACCACACACCACCACACACCACCACCATCACCATCACCACCACACACCGCCACACACCACCACCACCACACACCACCACCACCACACACACACACTACCACCACCACACACCACCACCACCACACACCACCACCACCACACACACACCACCACCACCCCACCACCACCACAACACCCCACACACCACCACCACACACACCACCACCACACACACCACCACCACACACACACCACCACCACACACACACCACCACCACCACCACACACCACCACCACACACACGCCACCACCACCACCACACACACCACCACCCCACTACCACCACCACCACACACACTACCACCACCACCACCCCACTACCACCACCACACACACCACCACCACCACCACAACACCCCACACACCACCACCACACACCACCACCACCACACCACCACCACACACCACACACACCACACACCACCACCACACACCACCACACCACCACCACCACACACCACCACCACACCACCACCACCCACCTTCACCGTCGATACGGACGACCGCCTGCTGGCGAGACGTTATAACCCGTTCTCCCTTCCACGTCCCCGCCGCCTTGATGCCGTCCAGCTCGGCCGCCAGAACGTCGTCGAGGCGGGCGAGCGCGCCAGGCGAGCCCGAGGCTCGGCCCGAGACCGAGAAGCCGGCCAGGCCCCCATTGGAGAACGCGGCCAGGTGGCGGTGGCGGAGCACCGCGCGAAGCGACGCAGCCATTGGTCCGTGTGGGGCAGTGACGTCACGGCACCACCACCACGCCCCTCTTTATGGACAGTGGCGAGGGGTGACGTCATCCGAGGTGGGGGAGTGGCGAAAGGGACGCAGCCATTGGTCCGTGTGGGGCAGTGACGTCAAAGGCACCACCACTACGCCCTCTTTATGGACAGTGGGAAGGGGGGGTGAGTGGATGACGTCATCGGAGGAGAAGTGGGGGGGAGTGGCGAAAGGGACGCAGCCATTGGTCCGTGAGGGGGCTCTGACATCACCGACATCGCCACGCCCTCTTTATTGACAAAGGCGGTTAGTGGTGGTGAGTGGTGGATGACGTCATTCCGGGAACGGTGGAGGAGTGGCACTGTAGGCGACGCAGCCATTGGTCCGTGAGGGGCTCTGACGTCATCCTGCCACTCTCATCATTCCCCCACAATTTTACTGACGGAGGAGGGATGAGATGACGTCACCAACACCACCGTCTCCAACAACAACAAAAACTGCGACAAGTCTTCTGGAAGATCGCGGAGGTGTGTCCGCAATTCCGCCTTCCTATTGGCTGGCGGAGAGCGGTTGGATTTCCTAACACGGATAAGATGGGTGGGGGGAGGGGGATTAACCCCCCCCCACCCATCTTCGGAACATTTCCATAATTGGTAGTGTGGATGGGCACGGCGGGTATGAATTGATAGTGACGTCATCGTCACCCATCGTCTATCCACTGTTGGGTAGAGTTGATCGTGACGTCATCGTAGTCTATCAACTGCTGGGTGGAGTTGATAGTGACGTCACCGTGGTCTATGCACTGCTGGGTGTAGTTGAGTGACGTCATCGTAGTCTATGCACTGGTGGATGGAGTTGAGTGACGTCATCGTCACCGTGGTCGATGCAGTGTAGTTGACAGTGACGTCATCGTTGTCTATCCACAACTGGGTGGAGTTGAGTGACGTCTCCGTGGTCTATGCACTGCTGGGTGTAGTTGAAAGTGACGTCATCGTTGTCTATCCATTGCTGGGTGGAGTTGAGTGACGTCACCGTGGTCTATGCACTGCTGGGTGTAGTTGATAGTTACGTCATCGTTGTCGATCCACTGCTGTAGTTGATAGTGACGTCACCGTGGTCTATCCACTGCTGGGTGTTGAGTGACGTCATCGCGGTCTATCCACCGCTGGGTGGGGTTGAGAGTGACGTCATCGTAGTCTATGCACTGCTGCATGGAGTTGAGTGACTTCATCGTTGTCTATCCACAGCTGGGTGTAGTGACGTCACCGTGGTTTATGCACTGCTGGGTGTAGGTCAGTGACGTCATTGTAGTCGATGCACTGCTGGATGGAGTTGAGTGACGTCGTCACCGTGGTCTATGCACTGGTGGGTGTAGTTGATAGTGACATCATCGTTGTTGATCCACTGCTGAGTGTAGTTGACAGTGACGTCACCGTGGTCTATCCACTGCTGGGTGTAGTTGAGTGACGTCATCGTTGTCTATCCACTGCTGGGTGGAGTTGATAGTGACATCATCGTCACCGTGGTCTATCCATTACTGGGTGTAGTTGAGTGACGTCATCGTTGTCTATCCACTGCTAGCTGGAGTTGATAGTGACGTCATCGTCACAGTGGTCTAATCCACTGCTGGGTGGAGTTGATAGTGACGTCATCGTCACCGTGGTCTAATCCACTGCTGGAGTTGATGCTGAACCGGTCCCGGGGCCTCCCCTAGGTAGACTCAGCCTCAAACGAGACAGCTGTGGTGCAGCGGGTGGTGGTGGTGTCGTGAACATCGCCACTGGGGGAGAGACAAAGGCGGCCGGGCGTGGTGGGGCTGACACTGCTGCTGCTACTCGCTACTAACGGCACTTGCCCCTACAGCCCTGCTAGAGGCTACCTGGGGGAGCTTTGTCTGTGTGTGGTGTGTGTAGTACATAGACACTGCTGCTGCTACTCGCTACTAACAGCACTTGCCCCTACAGCCCTGCTAGAGGCTACCTGGGGGAGCTTTGTCTGTGTGTGGTGTGTGTAGTACACAGACACTGCACTTGCCCCTACGGTGTGTGTGAGCTATAGTACAGAGGCAATGGTGATGCGTGCAACACGAAGGTCCGCTCAGCACAAACACACGACCACGTCACGGAATCAACAAGAAATCTGTAATGTACAGGTAGATCGTGACGTCCCAACCCCCCCACTTCCACCCCCCCTCCTCCTCCCACCCGAATTCTCATCGGACAGGAGATGCGGCGTCTTCATTGATGCATGGAAACATGTCCGGAGCGATGAGACCAGCTGAGACACAGACAGAGAGACACACAGACAGAGAGACAGAGACACAGAGAGACACAGAGAGCCACAGAGAGACACAGACACAGAGACACAGTGAGACACAGAGAGACACAGTGAGACACAGAGACAGAGTGACACAGAGACATGGGCGTCACGTGGGTGAGTGGGTAGGTGAGTGAATGAGTGGGTGGGTGAGTGAATGAGTGGGTGGGTGAGTGGGTTAGTGAATGAGTGGGTGAGTGAGTGGGTGGGTTAGTGGGTGAGTGAGTGGGTGAGTGGGTGGGTGAGGGAGTGGGTGGGTGAGGGAGTGAGTGGGTGAGTGGGTGAGTGAGTGACTGGGTGAGTGGGTGGGTGAGTGAGTGGGTGGGTGAGTGAGTGGGTGAGCGGGTGAGTGAGTGGGTGAGTGAGTGAGTGGGTGAGTGAGTGGGTGAGCGGGTGAGTGAGTGGGTGAGTGAGCAGGTGAGCGGGTGGGGGAGTGAGTGGATGTGTGGGTGAGTGGGTGAGTGAGTGGGTGAGTGAGTGGGTGAGCGGGTGAGTGAGTGAGCGGGTGGATGGGTGAGTGGGTGAGTGAGTGTCTGTGTGTGTGGCAAAACAACCCCCTACCTCCTCGCGGTGCGGGACGGGCAACTCTGTCGTGGACAGTGCTGTGGGGGGAGGGCCAATTCCGATTGGCTCCTCCCCTCATGGCGTCTGTGACCACCACAGGGGCTAAACGGGGGCTCTGGACGGGTGCGAGGGGCTGGTAACCCCTCCACCTTCAATGAATTACCACTAAACCACGAGTTAAACTGAAATATGTAACTAATAAGCTACTGGCGGAGCCAGGAGATTGAATATCTACCCTCGGGGCTCCTCCAGAAACAACGAAAAGCCACTTCGTGTGGCCACGTGGAATGTTCGAACGCTCACTGCGGAGGAGAGGCTGCCACTCCTCTGTCGGGAGCTGGACCGGTACCGCCTGGATCTCTGTGGCATTCGGGAGGTCCGGTGGACCGGCTCTGGCTCCTGCCACCATGAGGGGTGGACAGTCC